CAAACTCAGCTTTTTGGGGATGGAAGTGCGAAACCCACCATGGGCGGAATTGTCAATTACGTTACGGCTCTGAACGTGGATCTCGTCCAGATGGAAGCAACATACAGGAAAGCTGAGGTGAAATCCCTCTTGATAAAGTTTAAGCCCGAAGAGTGCTCCATACATTGCTGCATAACCCTGAGCAATTTTTTTTTCCATTATGATGATGGGAAGGCAGTTGCAAAATGCGGGAGATTATGTTCAATATGTGCGAGTATATGGTCTGCCACCTGAAGTTCCCGACAGAGATCTTGCGTGGAATACTGTAAATTTAAACGTGTTATCAGGGAGAAATTAATAGCAGAGCTTTGACTGGTGTACGGAGTGTATATATGGATGCGAAAAAGCAGAAGGATTGGAAGCAGCCAGAACAAGCAACAGTTGGACGACAAACGAACGTAGGACGAAGAAAAGCGTGACCAGGACGAAGATCGGAGTGTTAGCAGTTTGGATACTAGTTCGTATGAAGGTGTGGTAGCCGCAGGCGCCACAGCGGAAGCGATTGTGGTGCTCGTTGGAAATCGACGTGATGACCGTCGGAAACTGAAGAGAACGGAGAATGAGAACAAGCAAGAGGAAGTCAGGATCAGGAGCGAGTTTTTGTTTCGATTACCGGAAATGCCTGACCTACATAGTGTTAAAGCAAGTTTTGAATATAGTGATATACAAAAACTGTATTAATCGGTTCCGTAGAGTTTTATAATCATTTGAGCCTGTACAAATTAAATAATTGAAGAAAACACATCCAGCGAATATTTTTGGACGTGAATGCCTAATCTACTGCAGCAACTTTTAAAATAATATGATCTAAACTACCATTAGAAAAGGGCTAACTTTTTTATTTGTTTTATAAAAAAAATATAACTAAAAATTTGTTTTATGAAAGTTTAAACAATTTTCTACAGTTATCCTTTTGATTAAATTAGTACTGGGTTCATTATTCAAAAAAATGATCGACAGTTTGGCTCTTTTCACTGTGAACGCAAAGTTGCTCAAGTAGACGAAAGTTATTCATCGTCCACAAAGTTTTATTGTAATCTGACAAGGTACTACCAACTCCATACTTTTAATTTAGCAAACGGCATTCGTTAACTCAAATACATTCCATATGTCAAAACCGTTGTCAATTGCGTTTAAAGTGCATCGATGTACATTAGGGTGGGTCCATTTACAACCCTCTGTTCTTCACTGTTCTTTTAATGCGTATTGTGGTCCCCAACAACTGTGCAAAATTTGAACGAATTAGGGTATAATTTCGATTTTGTATGGGACAATGTTTGGGAAACGGGTCGATCCTATTCATTTGCTAACCGAAATTCCAAATATTGCTCCAAATATATTTCACAAAATCTTGAAGTTAGATTGACAATACTATAAAAAAACAACTTTGTGACTGTAAATCGATTTGATATTTATACAAAAAGTTACGAATCTTTCATGTTCCACCACACGCCTGTAGGAGCAATAGGGCAAAATTAATAAATAATTACTAGAAACTAGTTAATTTTGGTATATAAATACGACAGATATTAGAGAGTTGTATCGATTTTTCTCCTTTACTTTACTTAAATCTTTGGTTTTTGTTTTGTTAGGTAGGTTCCGATTCTACGTTTTTCTTCATTTTTGTACCTGTGATCATGACATTCTTACCTATGCTCAGGGCTGGTAGCAAGCCACTTTTTAGTGACTAAAAAGTCACTTTTCACACCAAAACGTCACTAAAGTCTCTATTTCCCTAAAAGTAGTTACTAAAGTCACTTTTTCACTACTAAAATAGAGTGAAATTTAAAAATATTAACAAAATGTTTAAATTCAGTACTTGGCACTAAGAAAGTCTAAAGTAGTTTTAACAAAATATACATAGGGGAAATGGCTCTAATGTTGGCCTATGGATCTAAGATTGGGCCCATCGCTAAAAATCTGCTATTTATCAATTGTATCTAGATGAACGCGTCATTGGGACGGTACTAATGGATATTTTTGGTTGCTATTGAAAATTTAGTCGATTGCTGAATTTATGTATGGGCCCATATTAGGAACACTTAGGCCGACATTACATACATTTCCTTTATCTGTTAAAAAAAAAAATTAACCAGGGTGACCAGTAGACTGATGCAAATTTTGACATTTTCGCTCCACAGTGCTCAAACGGTTCCAAATCGGGTCCTGATTAGTCTCCCAAAATTTGAACTCATTTGATAAGAAACTGACTTCGCACAAACCATTTGAAGTTTATATGGAAATTACTATGGGAAATCCAAACTTTTTGTTCATTGTCTTCTTACCTTTTTCTATAATGCACTGTTCAAAAATTCAAATGCTAAACTTATGGAAAACTTTTCTCAGCTTCAACTTAGCAGAATATAGTTGTTGAGCCAAACGTAAAATAAAATAGTTATTAATTGTTTAAGAGATTGATAATCATATGGCATGATCAAGCAGCTGTTTTGTGAGCAACACTGTATCTTGCAGTGTGACATAGTAGCCATGATTTTTGTGCTCTATTCCAAGCGCCAGAAACACCAATGTTGCCTGCTGAACAGTTGATTGAGCATAATCGTAAGACATTAGTGGCTTGAATTATTGATAAATTTTGATGCTTACATTATATTGAAAAGTGGTTCAGGACAAAGTTGTAGCTGAGTAAATTTTCTACGAGCTTAGTTATCATTTTTTAAAGCAGAGCGATATGGTAAATTGTTAGATGGATATGAACAAAACATTTGGTTTTCCCATAGTAATTTCCATATAAACTTCAAATGGTTTGTGCGAAGTCAGTTTCTTATCAAATGAGTTCAAATTTTGGGAGACTAATCAGGACCCGATTTGGAACCGTTTGAGCACTGTGGAGCGAAAATGTCAAAATTTGCATCAGTCTAGTGACCAGTGAACCGCAAAACTTTAGAAGACCAGGAAAACTATTGGGAAATGCTTTCAATTTCGATTAAAAATTGGAGAAAATAAATTGTAAATCTTGTAAACTTTCCAAAGGTATTTGTCTGTGATAGATTTTCAAAAGTCGTTCAAGGATATATCAGAGAAGAATACCAAAGAACAGACTACGGAAGTCTCATGTAAAATTAAGTGCTCTGAGGACCGATTTCTTCATCTCCGCTTAAATCTTATATAGTTAAACTTGGCTTAACACGTACGAGCGTCGCTTTTGATTGTTGTTTAAATGATTAGAGACGCAAAATTCAGCTCTGAAACAATTTTGGAAATAATTCCAATATAATTGAGAGTGCATTTTAACGATTCTAGGTTAAATTCTAAAAATAATTAAAAATTATTTATGAAATTTTGCCTAAGGGAGCTCTGATGAAAATTCCATGAAAATCCCGTGAACTCCAAAGATGGTCTCCAAAAGAATTCTAAAGATACGATACTACGATAGATGAGGAAATTCAATTATAGAGTTGATAGTTTCGTTATAGCACGGCAGTGTGAAAAAGGGTATACAAAGTAGAAAGCGAGCAAAGGACAATCTTGAGGAAGGTACGAATCAGGTAGTTGTTTACGTCAGATGGCGAGTGTGAAACAATCGATAGAACTGTTTCCGCACATCAGAGCAAACAGCGATCATTCCTTTTGCCGGTGGCAGGGGGAAACACCTCTCACCATCCCTCATTAACGGATGAGCTTGGTAAAGGAGATGCTCTACCCGATTCGTACCTTACTCAAAATAGTCATTTGTTCGCTTTCTACTTTCTATATACAAATTCACACTGCCGTACTATAACGGAACTATCAACTCTTTACTTTCATCTCCTCATCTATCGTATAAAATGTCCACTTTAATTCTGACATTTGATGTTAAGCATTTTCAACTATGAAAATAATCTTTTTCCAAGAATTTTGTTGATTGTTCTGCAAAGAATTTCAAGAATGCAATATTATTTTTGTAAAAGCTTATATGCCTCAAAGTTTAAGAGAAGGGGAATTATTCTAAAAAAGTTCTTGAGATCATTCTGAAGACATTCTGTGAAAAGTTCTTAGCGAATTATCAAAGCTATCTACCAAGATATATCAAAATTTTAAAGATTTCGAACGCAGAATCAAATTCAAGAGTCATCATGTATAACTTAAGCAAAAGTAAATTATTCAAATCACTTCAAATGTTCTTTACATGAGATTCCGTTGTGAGATTCGATTAAATTAGAGGAATTTATTAAATTTGATTTTAAGTTCCATGACATAAAAAGTTTATTTCAATATCAAACCGTATTTGAATTTCAAGATACCATGTAGTTAAGTTAAGTTACTTATTTAGCATTTACAAGTCACTATTTTTCCGTAATTTTAGTCACTAAAGTCACTACTATTATATCGCATCAGCTACGCATCAACTACCAGCCCTGTCTAGGGGATGAGTAGGTACTTAAGGGCGTTAGATTTTTATAATCCTTTAGTGGGAATGACACTGATGAAGACTGCACATTGTAGTCGAAATACGTATCTGTCACAATTAAATGGAAGATAACCTTTTTTGCTGTTCTATTTAAAATTCTCCGCATATCCAGATCATAACAAAATTCGTTCAAATTTGACACTGTTTTTGGGGACCTCAAAATACATCGGAAGAGCAATGTGGAACAGGGGGTTGTGATCCACCATACAAACCTCGACCCACCCTAATGTGCATCTGACTCTTCTTGACATTTCGACAATGTACAATTTTGACAGTGTCCTATAACTATATGACCTATAAGCTTGTTTTTGTTAGCGGACTTCCACTTGGCGAACGTTCAGTGTATTTCTATTATTTTGGAACATATTTATTTCTTCAATAATAATAAATTAAAATAATAATTACAATCTCTTCACTAGGGTGGGTAAATTTTTCGTGTTGCATGGCAAATTCTTATTTTTCTCGAATACGGCAATAACGGCGAATGTATGTCAGCTCGGCTCTAATGATCAGAAAAAAAAACTAAAATCATGTTTTCTTCATTCCATTACAGACTTCAATAATCTGCCGCTGCCAAACAGCCATCCCCCAGTCTGGCCCGCCAAGTGCAAATCGATGAAGACTGAACGACACAACACTAGCTTGCTGCTGGACGCTCGGTTCCCACGGTGTGGTGTCTAGTTCCCGTCTAAGTCCGCTCTGATTCCGTTAGTCCAACAGCCAGCAAATCCATCGATCTGGCACCTGTGCGCGCCAGCCGTAGTCTGCAGCCAGCCGAGCCGCTGCCACAGCCGACAAAACGGCTCATTCGACGTCTTCTCGTCGCCCTCTGGTGGTGCTAGGTCGTTCGGCAGTGCTCGAGAGGGGCTAATATGGCCACACCGCCAACCGAGGGAGAAATCAGAGTGGGTCCCGGCCATCAGGTAAACGATATCTATGTACGTAAGCCCAATTGTCCAAAAACTCACTGAAATCAACACACGGTAAAGCGGATTTGTTGTGGAACGGATTCCCATAATAGAGTGTGACTTTTGCCCGGTTCACAGGAGTCGAGCGATTTAGTTGATTTTTGTACCTGCCTAGTTTTGTTTAGTTTGTGTGAAAAGTACCCGCGGTAGATCGTGAAGATAATCGTATTTATTTCCAAAGAAAAAAAAACTATTCAATCTCTCTCATCTCCTCGTCGTTTTCGGTTTGCGCACTCTCCGGGCGCACTGTTTGTTTGTTTAAAAAATAAAGAAGATTTTCTCTTCGACCTAAAACGTGAAAAATGGATTCGGTTTCCGTTGATAACCACATAAATTATTACAACTCAGCAAAAAAAAAAAAGAGTACACACACTATGGAAATTGAGTGGAGCAAACTGCCAAGAGGAGGAAGATCATGAAAAAATCAAGAAAAACAACAAGCATAAACACATACCTATTCTGCGGTTGTGCCGAGCACATTCGTCGCTAATCTTTCATCTGTGGCAATTTTTCATTGCTTCTTTCAATATGTGATGAGATACAAGTCCATAAGCATGTAAACACGTGCTGCCGCTGCTGCTGTTGCCTTTGCGGGGTGCTGCTGGAGTGGAGTGGGTTTACGGTTACCCGATTCTGTACTTTATCGGTTCTCACTGCGTTACGCCAGTTAATGGTGGTACTAATTATTTGTTCTTGTTAACTGAAATGTATGATTATCTATATTGATGATGGGTTGGAATTTTTTGCCCAATGTAGCTGGTCGAGCTTGTTCAGATCGTTACACCACCCTACATTGGGAGAATAGAACTATGTTGCAATTCAAGACTGCTTTCAACCCAACCAAGAACGCTTGAATTTATTGAGGATTTCATAGAGGTCTGCAGATTTCCTGAAATATTAATTTTTTCAACTAAGTTCGAACTTTTGCCTCACCTAACTCTACTAGGGTTTTTGATGTTTTGGAGATTTAAAACTAATAAATTTAAATATCTGAATTTTAATGAACACTTATCACAGACATATCAACCTGAGGTCGGATTAGTATTGGGTAAATGTTTAGCGGATGTCGTTGTTGGTTCGATGTCGAGTTTCGTCTGTTATAAATCTAGTTGGTGTCAGATTGACTCAAGTTTTACGTCGGAATGTCAACCATAGCTTCATTCAACCACACGTTACATTCAGTAGAATGACTTCAAGCGAAGATGATCCATGCTTTAGTCACTTCAACAAAGCAGATCGAAATTATCCTTTCGAGTGAGGTCCCGTTGACTGTTACTGACACAGATTATTCTCATTTCCGCATTTGAACTGAAATTGAGAATTAGCAGTAGCGATGAACGGAGGTAAGAGTGGTCGAAATAGTCAAGATTTTCTTCATTAGAGTTAGGAGACTTGACTGTATTTATGATAGAAGTAACACAAATTTGTCATTTAAGTCAATTCAAAACTAGGATGTTCATTCTGTCAAATTTGCTATGTAAACTGCTGAAAAGTATTATAAATAAATTACTTCAGAAACTAATCACAGAAAAATCCACATTTAATTTCTTTTATTGCCGCTGAGCATTTATTATGACTTTATTTCAGTGATTTTCAGCCGAATATTTTTGTATATGCTTGTATATTTGTATTAAGGTTATTTAAAAAAACTTCAAACCTCTTGGAATGCTACTGTCAATCATCATGGAGTTTCTGTTTGGTCGTATGGAAATTATGTTGTTGAATTGAATAATCTGATACAAACCTTGTGGTAGATTCTGTGAAGTTCGGCAGAGGATTACTAATCATGCTGTTCTCAATTTGGAAATCAGTTGTAATTCGGCATAGGTTTCTTGATTTTTTTTCCCAAATCTGGGATCTAAAATTTTTGTGTGTCCCAAAATGCTGACATTTTTCTTTAATTCCCGAAATTATGAAGCTTTTCCTTAGTCCAGGGTTTTGATTTTTGTAAGCATGGGATCTTTAAAAAAAATCCAGCGAAGGTGCAATGCGTAGCACACATACATAAGCTTTAGTTGCAACAAGTGCGGCATAGATAGCTTCCTGTGCTTTTGCCTTGGTTTTCTTATGGTTCGAAACAAATTAATTGGTCACTGCAATGGTGATATTGAACTTACTTCCAATTAATTTGTTTAGAACAATTAGAGGCTTGGGATTTAAGTGCGCGATGCTCACTATGCCCTTCTTATACCCCTACATAGGGCTAATTACAGGACACATTCTACCACGTTATATCTTAGCTGTTTTTATGCCAGATTTAGTTGCATATTATTGCAGATTTGTTAAGTACAATAAATTTCTTAATATAAGTGATCAAGAGTTTCTGATTTAGGTAAATATTTTTTTTTCTTTAGATTTCTTTTTCTGAAATTCTATGTTTCTTAGTTCATAGTGTAATTTTACAAAATTTTACCTAATTAACGCGAAGATTATCCCTAACACATTTTTTCTGCTGCTTTTTCAGACAATCAGTGTTTTCCTTAGATTCTTGAAAAAAATTGGGCTTCGAAAAATTTGCATGATTATCTATCTAATTCAGAATGGTTGTAAAGTTTTTGGACTTTGAAGCGATTTGGAAAATGTATTGTGAACATATAAATAAAAGCTTAAATGTATTTTAATATTTTCTATTTTTTTCAATACTAAACAAATTTCTAATTCATTCAGTTTGCTATTTTTTGTGAAAATAATGTAAGAATCTTGAAATACGAGGACATTTAGGTCTCTCATGCACACCCTCATGCACAATTCAAAATGGTTGTAGACAAATTGATAGGGTTCCCTTAGTATTTTTTTCTTAATGGGATTCATGATCGTGAGAATTCTGAAATTTTGAGTTACGTTAAAGTAAACCAGGGAAATTAAAACTGATAATGCTCCCATCATGCCGTTTCATGACTGATTCTGATGAAATATCATATCATTTTTATTAACAGTTTGAACCCAATACATTTTCAAATTATTTTAAAATAAGATCTAAACTACGCACAATCTTTACCAAATTTCAAACTAGAAGAAATACTCTATCGATTGGAAGCTGTTATAACTATCGGTCAAGAAATGATAAAATACGAGCAGTTTTTTGGACTAATAAGTTTAGTACGCAAGGATAAGGTTTAAAGAGCCACCCACATTAGATCCAAATCTGTCGCGTTGTGGCAAAGTGACAGCTAAATCTATTGCAGGGCTGGTAGCGAGTCATTTTTTAGTGACTGGGTCACTAAGTCAGCTAAGTCAGTAAACTCACTTTTTCTTGTAATCAGTCACTATTCCAACTATTTTAGAGTGAATTTATATCAAGACGTTTAATCGTCTTTTTCTATCTACATTCTACATTCTAAATAAAATTACCTGAGTTTTCTAGGTTTTTCCAGATCTTTAGTTGATAAATTCCAGGCTCATAATAAGAAAGCTATTTTTAAAATGCGTTGGAAAATCAAAAAACAACTGTAATTAACCCAAACGTTTTAAAGACATGGCAATCAGTTTTAAAGAAACAGCTTTACATCAAATCCATTGAATGTTGAAGTTTAACACTTACTTAATTTCTCACTTTAATAAAGTTATAAAAAAACGTACTTTATTTAAGTAAGTCCAAGATCTAAAAATATTCAATGTCTTGAACTTTCGTATTCCATGCAAGGTTGCAAAGACTCATTTCAGCTAAAACAATGTTTTTCTAAATTATGAAATAATTAGATGCCATGATCAAATTTTGAATTGGTAGGATACAAGAAGAGGTTGGAAAGAATGTGTTTGACATATTAAACCTGTTTATTTCACTTCATGAGAGTCACAATCAGCGATTTTTCACAAACTCACTCACTCACTCACTCACTCACTCACTCAGCGATCAGCAAATCGCTCATTGTGACTCATAGAAAGCAAAATTTACAGGTTTTATGTTTCCAACGCATACTTTGTAACGGTAAGTTACAAGTAAAACATGCCATCATACCATCTTTTGGTTTTATTATTCCGAAAAACATTATTTTAGCTGAAATGAGTCTTTGCAACCTTGATTCCATGTACATCTTCAAGATAATGAAAATTTTCAAAGTGCCTGAATTAAGGAAAACAAATAAATGATTTATTTCAAGTTCGTAATTAACTTTAATAAAGATGAGAGAGCTTCATAACAGTCCCATTAACTTCACAACAATTGTAGGAACTTAAAAGAAGTTTTGAGGAATGAAAGGAAATACTCAAATCGGTTCTTTTAACATCTGAAAATTTTCAGAAACTTTTATGAAGTTCCTAGAATTTCAGAGCACATCATAGGTGTTAAGCGAACTTGAGAAATATAGAAAAAATGAGGGGTATTGTGTAAAGCGAGATCTGTTTATGTGCTACTTGCCCCTGCCCAGCCAGGATTTGGTCAACCGTCCGAGAGTAGTATCTGAAGGAGGCTTCAGAAACTAATTTCCTACCTAGCTTCTTCCAATCGAAATTGTTACCCATTAACCTCGAGCCCGCCACGAGTAATTGGTACCCACACTAATTGGAGACTGTTAAAAATGTAAATTCAAACATTACTGGTTTTTGGCTCCGCAAAGTGTCACACACGACTGAGCCTAGTAAATAAACGAACTAGTTAAAAAAATGTACGAACATTAAAGAAGTTCTGAGGAATGAAAGGAAATGCTGAGAATTTCAGTGAAGATCCATAAACAAACTGCGGGAACATTAGGAAAGTTAACACACTGAAAATATGGGGAACTTACTGGAAGCTTTAAGATCCTCAAATCGGTTCTTCTAACATCTGAAAATTTTCAGAAACTTTTATTAAGTTCCTAGAATTTCAGAGCACATCATAGGTGTTAAGCGAACTTGAGAAATATAGACAAATTGAGGGGTATTGTGGGGCTTTTTTAAGGCTTTTTTTTAATTTTTAAGAAGTTCTAAGAACCTCAGAAAAGCGACAAAGACCTAGAGATCTTTGAGGAAATTCAGATATTAAGAGCAGTTTA